TATATATGATCTGCGAAATGTATATCTAGACCATGCTTATTTTGGCATACGTCGTGATCATCACCTCATCGTCATTACTCACTATTGGAATAATCAGCTGAATATCATTTTGGCATACTGGCGGGGCCCTCAAATTTCGGCCGTAATATTCATTTTTCCATCTTCGGATTATTCACTGCATAAACACCACTGTGTATCCGGTTTTGCGTCATTCACATGAACGTTTACCTTGGTTTCCAAGGCGTCCACTGTGCGACAACTGTAATGTCTTTTTTTTGTCAAACACCCGTGATTGCATGTATACAATCCAATGGAACAAATGTGTTCTTACTGCCTGTTTTGTAAGAACAATAAGAAATAAAGCCAAATGGACGGTCAGAAAGCCTTCAAAAAGTCTGAGGAAGCATCGCGCCGTTAGGAGGGCTGCCCCTCGGAAACAAACCTCCCGTTTGTGTTCCCATCATTCTCAGTTGTACCGTCCGAACTCTTGTCGGAAATATGGCTGATAACACCAACTTAGCCAAAAAGCAGAAACATTCGCAATTTGGTTTGATCAAGCTTCAAGAACGCTGGCGTCACAACGAAATAAATGATGAAATAGTACGCCTAGATGGTATCGTTAGCTATCGAGTCGATCGCCCCTTTCCTTATTCTATACGGAGTGGTTTTTTCCCATTTATCAAAATACAGTGGCGTCACCTGACCAAAAACGTGTTCTCTTATTCCACACCATATAAATGCATCTGTACCTCAACATTAGCCCAAACATTAAAGTTTTTCCCGGGCACTCACTATTGGGAATGTATATATTGCCCCTTGTTCATCCAATGTTCTTGATGACACTCGTGACACTTTCAACCGTATTGATTGAATATGTGGTTACTTCAATTCCTACTGTTCGTGTAATAACTTTAATTTTTTTTTCTTAACCACTTTAGGTTTTCGAAACTTCTCCCACTAGATTTGATACAAATCTGGGTTTGCTTTGAGTATAATGCCGTACCTCGTTAGTGATGCCTGATCACTATGTTAACATTTTCAGTTCCATCGGAATACAGTTTCACAGGAGCAAAGGCACGTTGCTTTCGATGTCGTTAAGTTGTATTCTGTTGGGGTAAGGTTTAATGCACCGTGAGTAATGCACAGAGCTAATAAAACAATATTTGTGTCAACGAGGTACTCATTTTTTTTCTGATTAGGTTACCATTCCTGGTTCATCGCTTTCAGCTCATCAGTTCACTTTAACTGGTCAAAGTCCTTCAATCTGAATAAAACAATATGAAACAGCATTTCCTAAATTGAGGCATGTTTTACCCATGTCACGACGAGCGATGTTTGCCGAGGCGCCTATCGTTTGGA